TATATGAGTATAGCTGAATTTCCAAATTTTTGTATGCTTTAGCAATCATTAACACTCTGGTAATACTTTTTTTTGCAAAATGTATATTGTTGTATTGTGTCCACATTAAAACAGCCAAAATTTAAGTTTTTTATATCGTAATTATATCGCCCCTCGATATAATGATACATCCCTCTATAACAATATCTTTATTTGGTCCCCAAAGTATTGTTGTAACGAGGTATTACTGCATCTGATTTCGGCATCAGTAATAAACATGTTAAATTGTCGCATAATATCTAGGGCACTATAGAATCAAACAGAATTCTCTGCAAATATTTCAATTATTTAAGAACTTCTTTATAGATATGTTTATTTATACTACGTATGTAATAGTTTTATTTTATGAAGAATTTAATTGACGTTCAGTAAATTAGTATCGTTGTTAGATGCAGATTTTATAAAAGTAAGTAACAATAGCGAATTTTAGAAGTCACAAAAGATTGTTTTCAAGTTCAGGATCAGTTGCTTTTAGCAGAAAAAAAAATTTTCGTTTCAATGTGAACCGAAAAGGGGCAGAAAACTGAAAAAATAATACGTGTTACTTTTTTTGACAACAGAGAATAAAGCAAAAATTGATTTTTTTTTATTTTGAATATTAACAGCCAGAACATGTTGATCTCAGATATCAAAGATCGATGAAAATAGGAAATCACCTCGCAATTTTAGAGGTCAAAAAGAAAATGAAGGCAAACAAAGAATGTTTATATAAATATAAAATTTTCCCTCTATACATACTACGACATAGATGACATTATATATTTTTGTTATTATTATTTTATTAATTCAGATAATTTAGTAATTTAAGAAATAATACTTCGAATAAAGTACTTTTTTCTTTAAATATTAATAACCAGTGTAATTGCGCTATACAATAGAACCTTCCCTACAGCAATTTAGCACCTTTCTGGACGTACATTTTTTTTTAAATTCGAATTAAATATTTATTTATTCAATTTTAAGTGTCAAATTCGGACGTTTTATGCCTATTTTCGCTATTTTTCTTTTTTCCCTCCATTATTATTCACATCTGGTGTTTTAATTTATTAGTTCTTGCATTTTTCATTTACTTCGCTTTATATATTATCAGGGTTGTCATATTTTTTTTAGTTGAAATCCGGGCACACTGGAAGGGAAGGGGTTGAAGGGTCTTGGAAGGGGTCAAAGTATAGAATAAGATTCTAAATGCTGCCTACGACTTGCTTTCATAGAAGAAGAAGGAAGAGGCTTAGAGGAAGTGAAAAAAATTTAAGACGCCAGGAATACAAAGAATATACAATATTCATTAATGTTTAATTAATTCAAAATTATATTAATGAAATACAGAATTAAAACAATGGCAAAATAAAAATAAAAGTTTCAAATGAAATAAACAGTTTAAGGGGACATACGACTGTTAAACCTCGAAAATTTTCGATTTTATGAAAAAAATATATATTATTTCCCTGTCCTTTCTGAATAATTTAAAACAATCCACGTTAAAAAAATTCCCATAATTATGAAAGTTATGAAGGAAAATGTATCAACTCTTCAACGTAAACATTGAATATGGCCATATCTTTAAAGCGCTATATCTCAAAGTGTGTTTTTTTTATATTGCGCTCACGGTATCTCAAGAACTATTGAATATTTTTAAATAAAATGTTTACAGAATATGTATTTTGCCATGTTCTCCAAATTGAACCACATTTTTGTACCTATTTCTCCAAAGGCCTTTTTTCTTGGGGGGGGGGGGTAGAAAAGTTGAAATTTTAACTATTTTAGCATTTTTATTTTAAATCGGTATATAAAATAGAAATAAAATTTTAATTTTAACAAATTGTGGTTCAGTTTCTTAAACAGACTGTTTGGATTACTTTAGATGTCCAAAATATTGTGTTTAGATAAATATTTTATCCGTAATCATGCACTCAAGGTGACTATCTCATTTTTTCTCCAAAAATTATACCCATATTTATTACTCTCTCAAATAAATACTTACCAATATGAGGTTTGAAAAAGTGTGTGCTATAAAAGAAGGAACAAATATTTTTCTAGAAAAAAAATGAGTTCCTGAATTTTGTTGTTTTAGAGGTACAATGACAGATAAATTCGACAGTTTTCCATCATTTTTTCGAGGTTTAAGAGTCGTATGTCCCCTTAAGAAACTTTTAGGTGCCCCTGGGCTACAGCCTATTTAGACCAATGGATAAGACATCCCTGCTCATAGCTGCATACTTTTGCGGTCAACTGAAACAGTCCACTTTTGATTTCTGAGAGTGCCCACACATAAACACAAACCTTGTTCCTGGGGTTGTTTTTCGGATTTTATGTGTACGAATACTTGATTATGAACAGATTTTCATGTTCAGCTTATTTTTCTGAGGAAAAATAAAATTGCACACTTATTATAATAGAAGTGATACAGTTTTTTTCATACCATAAAACAGTAGCGGCGATTGGGTGGCAAAAGTTTTATTGACACCTAAAAAAAATTATTGACACCTTAAAGCACCCCAGAGTATTGGGGGTAGGCAACAAAATTTTAAAATTTAGTTACAAAGTTATCTGGCTTACCCGGACAAGATTGTTTTTTTTATACTCCCTAGTTTTAGGCAGCTAAAATGAAATAAAAATTTAATCTTTTCCTCAAAAATTGAAAGGGTAGCTTCCTCCTCCACTGCCGTAAAGTGTCACATCTTCAACTAATCTTGATAATCATACGAGAAACATTTGTGCGTCTATAAGATGAAATAGTATTAAATTAGTATCTTTTTTTAGGTGCTAAGATTCAATCGAAGTAAATGATATTATGTAGTGCTTCGGAGATCCAGATCGCTTAACTTTGCAGTTATCACGCAGAACTGGGTGACATTTCTTTTAATGCCGATAGATGGCAGGCTTGGGAACAGTGAACCCAGTCCGTGACCTTCTAGGGTCACCGGTCACCGCAATTGAGAGGGGCAGAGAGATTTTGGATAGGAGGTGAACGAGTGTGGTTTTTGGGGTTGCTCTGCGCGATAGCTGTTTTCCATTCTATTTCTGGCTAAGAAGGGTAGAATTGCACATAAGTAATATATTCTCGTTGAGGAGAATAAGAAATCATTTTTATATGAATGAAGGAAGCCTAAATAAAGGAGATACAGCCTGTAATCCAGATTCTTCATTGTTGTTACGAACCGTTGAACACTACATATTATATTGTTTGAAATGCCCCTCGTTAGGATTAATCAGAATACACGTTTTCATTCTCGGCTTCTTGTAATCAGAATGATAATGGCTTCTATAATATTAAGAAGTCAGTGACTCGTTCTCAAATCTTTTCGGGAAGAATTCGAAATGTTCAGATATTACAATATTATTCATGAAAATTTTATAAAATTTTCTCAAATATACTGGGTGATAATTTTAATGCAAATTTAAGTCTGCATTCGGACAACCACAGCTGCTTTCCTATTGTTGGAGAAAATAACATTTGTTCGGCAATATATTTATCAAGAAATTTAAATCTAGACGCTCTCTCCTTCTTACGAAGCTTTCACCGATTCTTTTCGCCAAACGATATACAAACACCAGACTCGAAATTCACCCCTGCAAGTCGTGAAAGCTGACCAGCGGCTATCAAGTTTCTTAGAAGGGAGGAGCTCATTTTTTTTCCAGATAGCAAAGAAAGTTGCGGAAAGATTGCCATTTCACTTTCCATAGATTTCTCAATCTATGGAAAGCGAAAGTATTTCCGCGAAAACCGTTTCGGAAACCATTGCCGCAAGGTTTACATAGGAAAGCTTTTTATGAACTGCCTCACCGACAAGGTTTGAACGACAAGTCCGCGAAAGCATTTCCGCGCAAATCATTTCGGAAATCATTCCCTCAAAATTGACGTAGGAAAGCTTTTTATGAACCACCTTTCCCATCGTGTGTGCTCCCCTCTGGTATAGTAGTTATTTCGTTTGCCCTCCAACTCTATGAACGCGGGTTCCATCTCCCGCTCGGAGGAATGTGAAGTTTTGTCACAATCTACAACGAAATCGTACAAGTTCAATTAAAAATTAGATTAATCAAATTAATTGAAATTAATAATTAAGCTTTTATTAATTAAGATTCCTAATTGATCTAATTAATTGACATTCCAGATAAATCTAAGTTGGACTAAGATGACGCCAGAAGAAGGGGGTGAAAAAAAGGGAGTGTGGACCCCTCTGTAGAAGTACGGCTTCAGAGGGGTGAAACGGGGGCTCTTAACAACCTTTTGAAAAACCTGAAACAAGCTTGTAATAAAAGCTTGGGGAAATCTTACTAAAAACCTTACACAAAACCTTGTTTCTTGTTGACTAACCACCTTTCCGCTACATTGCCGAAAGGTTCAACCCACATGGAAACCTTTGTGACAACCCTTTGCCCTTGCTGACGACGAGGTTTCCAAAACCTTTTAGACAAGCTTTCTTTGCTAGCTGGATGGAGGCCAGGGGCGAACCGGAATCACAGCCACAAAGAAAAAAAATTAGTACCTACTCCACCGGTGATCTAGCTAACCCAGATAGCAAAGAAAGCTTGTCTAAAAGGTTTTGGAAACCTTATCGTCGGCAAGGGTAAAGGGTTGTCACAAAGGTTTCCATGACGTGGGTTGAACCTTCCGGCAAGGTAGCGGAAAGGTTCGCTAGTCAACAAGAAACAAGGTTTTCTGTAAGGTTTTTAGTAAGATTTCCCCAACCTTTAATTACAAGCTTGTTTCAGGAATTTCAAAAGGTTGTTAAGAGCCCTCCTTGGGCGGACAAAATATAACCCCCCTTCCCCCCTCCGGAGCCATACTCTTACAGAGAGGTCCAACCCCCGTTTTTATCCCCCCATCTTCTGACGTCATCTTAGTCCAACTTAGAGTTATCTGGAATGTCAATTAATTAGATTAATTAGGAATCTTAATTAATAATTTTTAATTGAACTTATTTGCACGATTTCGTTGTAGATTGTGACAAAACTTCACATTCCTCCGAGCGGGGGATCGAACCCGCGTTCATAGAGTTGGAAGACAAGCGCACTAACCACTATACCGGAGGAGGCTACACACGATGGGAAAGGTGGTTCATAAAAAGCTTTCCTACGCCAATTTTGAGGGAATGATTTCCGAAACGGTTTGCGCGGAAATGCTTTCGCGAACTTGTCGTTCAAACCTTGTCGGTGAGACAGTTCATAAAAAGCTTTCCTATTCCTAAGCGGCAATGGTTTCCGAAACGGTTTGCGCGGAAATACTTTCGCGGACAGCCTATGGAAAGTGAAATGGCAACCTTTCCGCAACCTTCTTTGCTATCTGGGAAGGCTGTGATTCTGCTTGTCTACCTAACACTCTAATCCACATCTCTTCAACCTCACCATATGAGGGCCTTTTTCGATTTCCAAATAAAGGTACACTACATGGGTGCCTTAAGTTCATAGCAATGCTTTTGGATATATAATGTTTTTGGTGATCCTATTTGGCTTATATACAATAATTGTCCATGAGAAAACATGGATTCTCCAAATTCAATCCACATATTTGCAATGATTGACCTTGTTATCCGTTTATCGTTATTGCAAAAGCCAGTTTAATTGAAAATTGTAACCGTTTGAATTGGAATGGGTATCTGTTGGTATCACTGGTATACGTGGTATTAGCATATTCTCTCCTTTGAATTTGCCAATTAAAATTGTTGCTTCGATTACATTGTTTAATAATCTTGTAACTGCCAATCTGGTACCATTGCAAAGATGGGTTAGGGCAATGTTTCTAAGAAGAATAATAGGAACACCAACCTTCAAATTAATCATGTGGGGTGGCAATCCAGATAAATCAAGTGAATTTAAGAATTCAGTTGGATAATTTATTGCTTCATATTAATCTACAACAGTATCTATTGATTTGTAAGTATAGCTGTTTCTCCTGGTAACATATGTTGAATGCTGATATTAATGAAATTTACACCCACATTTTTTGCAGCTAATATTGCACGTTCACTTAACCATTGATGACTTTTGTAATTTTGTTTGATATCTGGAAATACGCACTGAACCAATTCTTCTTGTGAGTGAGTGATACTGTAAAAATCGTTTGGTAATTTAATGCAACCTATTGTTTCTTCCATTGTAATTTTCCCATTTCCAATATCCAATAATTGTATCGCAAAATGCTCTGCAGAAGGATCGTTTAGTAATTTAACACGCATGTTTGTCGTCAATAAAAATTTATTAACATGTCTCCACAAATGTGATGTTTTTAAACACGCATTTAGTTCATCAGCTGGTGTTGAACGTTGAATAACAGATAGTCAAAATCAGTGGCGGCTCGTGTTATGTAATCTTGGGAGTGCTGTCCTTCCTGCGCATCTTTAATCCTCCACTGCGCAGTAATGCATATTTGAACCACTTACCCTTTTTGGCTTTTTTCATTACCTTTAAGTAGTTTTATATTTAATGAATAACTAATAAAATTTTTTTCTTCAAATAGGTAAGTATTTTAACAAATTATTTTTAATAAAAAATTTAACCTCGAAATTTGTTTTTGAGTTCCGTTTTTTGTATTCCTTACTAGATTTTAAAAAAATTAACATTAAAATGACAGTATAGTACAGAAATAAAACGAGGAAAAAATGTTATAGTATAACTATATAAACAGAAGTGTTAGCGAATACTATTTATTAGTATCATTAAAAATTACTTAAAAATGAAATCCATTCTTGTTTTGTTTTCAGCGAAAGAACAAAAACATTAATCTTGATCTTACGACGATTAAAAAATTTTGTATCCATTTAAATCAAAACAGCTACATATAATCGCATCCCGATTCATATTGTGTGCGTCAGAAAATATTTTATTCTTTTTTTAATGTTAGAAAGCTGAGTTCAAGCTCTGATGTATTATGTAGTAACGGGTACTGCCAAGAGGAGAAAAAAAAAATGATTAATTTAATCTATTACAGCTATCTAAAGGTGGGCTGCGATAATTTAAATTGGGAATATGCTTATCAATATTCTTAACTAAATCTTAATTTATCTGATCTCAATTTGGGATAATGAACCATGATACCAAATATAAATGTACAGAATATTAGGGTTCACGAAAATTTTGAAAACGTATTTGTATCACGAAAAATTTCTATTATGTATTTTTCAGCATTTATAACTAAAAATCATCAAAAAAATCTTTCGGATTTCAAGAAATTCCATCACTATAAAAAAAATTCAATTAAATTTTCATTTATTATTAATTATCTTTCATTTCTTTATTTCTTTTCAAAGTTTTGGAATGCGAAAAAAAGGTTTAAAACTCCGTTTCTAATGTCACGGGAACTGTCGATTTTCACAGTACCTTTTCAGCTTAAAAACATGGTAGGGAAAGCCTGCTTAGGCGGAATTCGGAGGTGGAAGTATCCTCAGTTCCCGTTTGAATTGTTACTTTCTCCTTTGCACTTGTTCTTCGGGTAGTGAAAAAATAAGATTGGGAACTTCGTTCTCTGCGTAGGTTTTTCTTCGCGTTTCATTTGAATATCGTAATCGTTTAATGCAAAATTGCGTTAAATTGTTGATAAAGTTAAATGTTAAATGCGAAATAAAATAAATTGATTAAATTTACACAATGGGAAAAGTTGGGGGTGTTGCAGTACCGCAGTCCCTACACACGAGCCGCTCCAGGTCAAAATCACCTGCTAATAATATTGCCGCACCACCGAATGGCCGTTCGTTTCCACGTAAATCTTGAAATGTTCGATCCAGTGCTTAAACGATATTTTTTATGCGCCATTGTGCATTCATCCCATATAATTATTTTGCATTGCTGGAGTACTTTACTCATTCCTGATATTTTTGAAATGTTGCAAGTTGGTTTTAAACTATTTTGTATATTCAATTGCAATGTAAGTGCTGAATGTGCCCTTCGACAACCATCTAAAAGAGTCTCTGCAATTCCAGATGATGCGATTGGCAATGCGATATTATTTTGTGCATGTATATTAATAAATTCAATTGTCAAAACAACAGCACTCGAGCTTATTTCTACGCATGCAGGCAGCATTTCTTATCTCGTGAACTTCAATACGAGAAGTGCTGTCTCGTGGCGCCATCTACATTTAAATAATAGTACTGCTACCCCATATAGCAATTTTAGTTTACAACAAAGTTGCAGCAGTCTTGTTATGCAAGTCTGCAAACTTGCAGCAAGTTCAGCACGACAAGACCGCAAGTTCATAACAAGACTGCAGCAAGTTAACGCAAACTTCGAAGTCACCATACGACAAACTTGCAGTGAACTTGTTGTGTCAAGTTCATTGCAAACCAGTAGCAAAAAGAAAGTACGCATACGAACCTTGGATTCGAACTCCGGACAACTTTCTTACAAAATCTGTCGCCTTATCCGGTAAACCAGCGAGACCTCGATCGCCGAAGTTAGATTGCGCTAAAGCAGCTTGGCTTGATACTAAGTATCGTGCACCTACACGTTTTTTTAAAAATTGACTTCTTGATCTAATTAATTGTTTATAATTTTGAGTTGAGAATATGATTTGAAGTCAAAGAGAGAGCGATTTTCACTAATAACTACGTTCTTCTAGAGGAATAAATTATGGGACATAATAAAAAATATGGGACACAAAGTAAGTTATTATTCTTCAACAAACATTGACTGTTTTTGGGGTTTAATTTTAATTTTGTTTATGAACGTTAAAATTTCAACATTAAGAAAAAGGCGATATATTTTTCTTTAAAGTGCGAGTTCTATATTTAGTAAAAGTTGGGATGGAGAATTTTTCAAAAGTAAATTTTTTTATAAAAAGACCTAGTCAGTTTTTTCAAATTATCATTGATTCATTGAATTAATAAAAAGGACGGTCTAGGAGATGTTATTAAAAATCGGATGTCTTTTAAAGGAGAGACAAAGAATCAAAACCAGATATATACAACTGTATCCAGGTCGTGGTGTGTAAGTATGCCGTATTAGCTTCACAGCAAACTTGCATTACAAAGGGGTGATTGATTATGCTATGTTACTTTGCAAGAGTTTCGCTGCAAATTCGTCGCGTCAAGTTTGACATGACAAGATAATATCCAGAAAAATCACACTTGCTGCATATGTGCATGCTATCTGGGACTATTGATATTATATTATTAGGCCCCTAACTTTATTTCTACTGGTCAGATCAAGGATTTCAATATCTTTAAATCTTCACCGGACAACGCAGATCATTTTGCAAAAAACTGCGCGTAAGTAGGTCCAGTAGTTTTTTAATGTATAACGGACACATACGAACATTGGCTTATATATATATATAGAGAGAGAGAGATTTCCACCCAGGCTTTCAATAAATGTATCTAAAATTGTGTCCAGTGAATTTGTTTTTGAAATATACTGGGAAAAATAGCCAGTACAATGAATCCCCAACTATGAGGTAACTTTGCACGAAAATTCCGAAAAATCCTAATTAATTATTAAATTTCTGTGTGATCCAAATTTTGCTGCAATACGTGTCTCTTATAATCACTCAACGAGGAAAAAATTCTTTCTGAAGTCATGAAAATCGATGTAAAGTAATCCCCTTTTACGTTAATGATTTGCAACTTTCATCAATGTTTTTTTTTTTTTTTTTTTTTTTACTGAGCGCAACAATACTCAAACGAATTTCCGTAGAAATTGCACGTATATTCGGAGAGATATAAATGTCTTTATTAAGAAATTTTCCAATTTTTTTACTCACGTTTTGTGCTTATAACATTTAGATTTTTTAACCAAATTATAAGAAACTTACAGAATACGTGACAATATATTAGCGGAGCATTATATTAAAATTAAAAGTAAATACTTTGAATATTCAAGGAAAGATGAGTATTTGTAGCAAATAATTTATAAAGCCCATTTTTCTTTCATAATTTCCAAGCCAGATATATAGGACAGGTCATATAAAAATCCCAGTTGAAAACCGTTACGATTCAGAAAGATATCGGCATTGCAGCAAATTGAATTTCAGTTGTTCTGTAATCGAATCTAAAATATGAAGGGTTTTACACAAATTGATATCTTTTATGCTTGAATTTTAG